ACCAATGCCCCCGCCACATTCCAATCCACCATGAACCACATATTCCGCGACCTCCTCGAAGTTTGTGTCGTCGTTTACCTCGATGATATCCTTGTCTATAGCCCCACCTTCGAGCCCACCTTCAACATCTCCGCCAAGTCCTCTCTATCCTCAGAGAGCAAAAATTCTACGCCAAGCTCAGCAAATGCACCTTTGCCGCTTCAAGCGTTGAATACCTTGGCCACACTGTCTCCGCTGAAGGTATACGCATGGACCCCTCGAAGGTCACCGCCCTCATCGAGTATCCACCACCCAAGGCCCTATTCCAACTTCGCTCATATCTCGGCCTTGCCAACTACTACCGCCCCTTTATCCGCAACTTCTCCGACATCTTGTACCCCCTCCACGAACTCACCCGCAAGGACGAACCCTTCAGTTGGAACGATCGCCGCCAAAACGCCTTCGACTTCCTCAAACAAACCATCACCACGGCCCCCGTCCTCAAGATCGCCGACCCCTCTCGACATTTTTATGTTACCACTGACGCATCCGAATTCGCCCTTGGAGCCATCCTATCCCAGCACTTCCCTCGAGACATCTCTGAAACCCCCTCCATCCAAGACTCCTCCACCCACCTCGAGGCTCCACCCGACGAATACCCCATCGCCTTTGGTAGCAAGAAGCTCCTTCCCGCGGAGATGAACTACCCCTCCAACGGTAAGGGACTCCTCGCCGTGATCCACACCCTCAAAGTTTGGCGCCTGTACCTCAACGGGCAATACTTCACCATCCGCACAGACAACACCATTGTTTCCTCTATCCTCACCAAGAAAGACATCATGCCGTGCCAAGCCCGTTGGTTAGACTTCCTTGCCCAATTCAAATTCACCATTTGCCACACCCCGACAAAAGCAACCGCGTTGTCGATGCCCTCTCTCGACGCCCCGACCACAAACCCTCTGAGAAAGTCTACACTGCCATGACTCATATCCAACTCCTCCCATCACTCCACCACCGCTACACCCAAGGCTACCTCTCTTGCTCGAATTTCTCAACAATCTACAGCAAACTTCGTGACCTCGACTCCATCCCTGACTACTCCCCTTCACGACCAACTTCTTTACATTCACACCAAAGGAACTCGCCGACTTTTCATCCCCGACGCACATGGCCTCCGTACCCAGCTCTTGGTCGAGCATCATGATGCCAAGACTACGGGACACCTCGGGTTTCAGAAAACCTTCGACACCATCTCTCGTTACTTCTACTGGCCTTCCCTACCCGCGACGTCAAAGCCTACATTCACTCATGCCCCACATGTCAAGCCGTCAACCCCTCAAACCGCGCCAAGCCCGACAAACTACAATCATTGTCGATCCCCACCCACCGGTGGCAGTCCATCTCCATGGACTTCGTTTGTGGTCTCCCCTAGACCAACCGCGGAGCACCACATCGCACAATGCCAAGGACGTCGCCATTCTCTTCTTCGACCATGTCGCACGCCATCACGGTCTCCCGGAGAACATCATCAGCGACCGTGATCCTCGCTTCCTTTCACAATTCTGGAAACACCTCTTTAAAGCGTACAGAACCATGCTCAAGTATAGCACTGCATTCCACCCACATACCGATGGACAAACTGAGAAGATGAACGGTACTCTCCAAAGAATCCTGCGGAAGTATTGTCATCCACATCAACACGATTGGGATCAGTTGCTCACCGCCGCCGACATCGCCTACAACAATGTTGTCTGTCCTTCCACTGGCATGTCTCCATTCTACCTTGACCTTGGCTATCATCCGCACTTGCCCTCCGACTTCCTGCTCCCCTCGCAACTCAACCCCTCCACCACCTGCTCTTCTCTCAATGAATGGGTAGCAACAATGAACAGACTCCTCAGAGAAGCTACCGAAGCCCTTGAACAAACACAAGAACAATAAGCCAACAAGACCAACAAACACAGACGAGACGTAACATTCAAAGTAGGGGACAAAGTTTGGCTCTCCGCCAAACGCTTTGAACCCGAACACGGCTTGTCCAAAAAACTCTCGAACAAGTGGCTCGGACCCTTCCCCATCATTGAACAAACCTCCCACGTCAATTTCAAGCTCCAACTCCCTCCTGAAATGAGTCGTGTCCACCTTGTCTTCCACGTAGAATGCCTAAAAGAATACCATGAATCCCCAACCCAATTCGCTGACCGCCCATATCCTAGACCTCCACAGATCATGCTTCCCACAGGCCCAGAATTCGTAGTAGAATCCATCATAGGCCGACGAACCACACAAGTATCAGACCATCCGGAACCAATCACAGAATACAAAGTTAAATGGACTGGATTCCCTGACGAAGAATTCACATGGGAACCTCTTGCTAACCTTAAGAATGCTATGAAACTTGTTTGCGCCTATGATCGTGCTCACCCTATATCCTAGATACATAAACTCAAACCCTAAACCCTTGCATAAACCCCGCCTCGACCCCGCCAAAACCCTGCATTCCTGCTCTACACACACCCCTGCACCCAGCAAACCCCTTGCCCCTTGATCTCCCTCTGTCTGATCCGCTCTTGCCTCCGTCTTGCCCCGTTCTCCCATCTGTCCTCCGCCACATCCTTGTCTCTCTTGTCCAAATCCTCTTTGTGGCCCCTGCGCGTCACCGGCAATAATGAATCTAATGGCAAGCCCACGAGGATGATGGCATGCTGCAGCTCAGTACGAGGATATAAGACAGCTGGTTGGCCACCATGCTGTTCCCTTTGGCCGGCACCTTGGACTCGCAGACTTCCGGAGCAGCACCTCTGACATGGACATCAAGATCAGTCTGCGACCTGCTATCCGGATCAGACCTCATCATCAGACCGTGTACCGGATGCAACCTGCTACTGGGACAATCAAGCTGAAGCCCTCGCCGTCCACATCACAGAACTGCCGAAGACTGCTTCCTCACCGCCACTCCTGCGACACATGCCAAGACCTTTCTCGAGACATGTTTTCGCTTTTGACACTTTGTTACAGACCTGAGACGCTGTTTTTCCAGACCCCTCAGACACCCCAACACTTGAGCATTGAACAAACACTTTTTTTGTTTTATTTGATTTCTCTCAAACCTGACAACCTATAACCTTGTAGAACACCAATAGGACTACCCTGGTACTTGTAGAACCTCAATAGGATTACCATGTTACTTGAACATTGCTACTCTCACCCTTGTAGACCCTCAATAGGATTACCCTGTTACTTGAGCATTGATTCCCTCATCCCTGTAGAACCTCAATAGTACTCCCCTGTTACTTGAGCATTGATTCCCTCATCCCTGTAGAACCTCAATAGGATTGCCCTGCTACTTGCATTACTCCCCTTTCCTTTTCTGACCAGCACAGTTTCATTGGGTCTTTGGCAGCTGGGACGTTGCCTTCCAGAGGGAGGGGATAGTGTTACGGACTCAGCCAGGGCTCGATCCCTGGTCCGGGGGGTACCACCCGCCAGGCTGCTATTCTATTGTTTTTGGAGTTTCTGATCTCCGGTTCCTGACTGTTGGTGCCCTCTGCAGTTGGCGCCCGTTCTCAAATCCCGCCTCTGCCACTTTCGGATTTCGTACTTGGCGCTATCCGGCATTCTGGCGCCCAGGCTCAGACCTTCGATTTTCAGTCCAGCCCTGAGGCAAATTGCACTTTTGCCCTCGGACTCAACTCGAGTCCGGTACTTAAGACCGGACTCAAGCTGAGTTCGGGGACGCAGTTTTCGGCGTCAGTGCTTGTGCTTCAGTGTGACTTGCTGCGACATTGTGTACGGAACCAAGATTGCGACTTTGCGACTTTGCCACTTTGCTACTTTGTGTCCGTGTCTGTCGAGTCATGTCGAGTTGAGTGAGTGTGTGTGTGTGCTCTCACTCCCTCCCTCTCTCTTGCCCGACCTCGCTGCTCTGCCTCAGCCTCGTCACACTTAGGGCCACTGCACAAACAAACGAGACAGCTGCTGTAGTGTTTGTTCGTGACCCATAACTCTTGGAACACAGACCCGAATCTGAATCCAGAATATATTGCTGGCCTGCTCATGCTCCTGTAGCAGTTCGATGAACGTCCTTCCACATGCATGGGATCCCTCTAATTCTTTGCAGGGGACCCTTTGGAAAAGAGACTAGATCCAATGAGGAGTACGATGTGGCGCCAAATCATGTTTTTTCTGTGCACTTACAATTTTCAAAAGGGAGGCACTTATTTGGTTACCACATCCTGCCCTTTTGATTTTTTTTTTTTTTTTTTTTTTTGTAATTGCGCCGCATCACGTCCGCACGCACGTGTGCGCGTGCGCTATGTGACGCACGTGCGCAACTTGCACGCACATGCGCAATGCGGCACACATGCACAACTTGCACGCACGTGAGGCGCCGCATGTATGGTTCTATTAACTTTTTTTTTTTCCTTATTGTTACTTTTTCACATATTGTGCTTGGATTTGGATGGATTGGGTCTGGGGTAGGTTGGTTTGGTCTGTGTTTGGTTGGATTGGGTTGGGAGTTGATGATAAATTATCTAAAATTTGTTGATGTGATGAGTCTGATGATGATGTCATTACCGGTTGTGAAGTGGAGAGGACCAAGGTTGGGTTTCCGTTGAGTTGGCTGTGGATGCGCGCGGCAACTTAAGTTGTTCTGTCTAATTGGGGGGAAACTATTGATGTCATCAAAAACCTTGGTCAGAATTTCAAAGGGCAGTATCTTTCTGTGAAGTTTGTTGATGTCATCAACTTTGTGTGAAATCCGTCGATGTCGTCAAACTTTGTGTGAAATTTGTTGATGTGACCAGCTTTGTGTGAAATTTGTTGATGTCATCAACTTTGTGTCAAATTTGTTGGTCGGTGAAATTTGTTGACGTCATCACTGCTGTGCGCTGGATACGGTAAGGTTGAGTTTAGAATGAGCTGGCTGTCGATGGCGTGGGAAATTTGCTATGCTTTGGGGGAAAAGTGTTGATTTCATGAAAAACCCTGTTTGGTTTGCGTGGCTGCTCTCTAGACAGCTGTGGTTGTTGATCCCGTCCTCGTGGCGACGAGCGGCGACATGCTTGCGGAGGCCGACCTGCTCGATGCTCTCAGGTAAGGAGAAGCTGGCTTGCCACACTGCTAATTCGTGCCGTGTCTCGTAAAGGGGAAAACCTGTATCTCTGTTCTGAGATTTGATCTAACCTTTTTTCCTGTTTTTCACTTTTTTGACTTTTTTTCTCTCCCGAAAGTGTGACGGCCTTGAGATATCATCATCGAATCGACCAGCCCAAGGGGAAAATTCAAAGAGTGATTATATTCATCTGATTCCATCTGGATTCAAACTTAGGTCTGTTTATCAACAGCTCATGGGTGTACTATTCAGCCACATGGGCTTGGTGGTTAGCTTTTGCTAAGGGGGCAGCAGCCCCTAACACTTTTTTTTTTTTTTTTTTTGACAACACACAGGGCTGGGCCCCCCATCTATTCTGCAGGGCAGCAATCCGGTTGCTTATCACCAGGAACGGCGGCAATCATAGAGCAGTGTTCAGGAGAGAGAGAGAGAGAGAGAGAGAGAGAGAGAGAGAGAGAGAGAGAGAGAGAGAGAGAGAGAGAGAGACTGATGAAGAAGGGGTCCAGCCTATTCCGGTATTACCCCTGCCACTGTAGATGCTTTGCAGAGGGGAACATGGGAGTGGGGGGGTAGGAGGGAGATCGTATTGGTGCAAAGTTGCAAACCACGGCAGGCGTTTTTCTGTACTCCGTTGCGTCGTCAGACAGTATCTGCATTGGAACTCTCTGTGACTGTGCACGCGCAGACCTGTGCTGATTTCGTCTAACTCTAGTGGCTCCTCTAAGCCGTGTGCGTAGCCGACTCCCCCAACATACCGTCTCTGATGCATAGGGGTTTCTCAACTTTCTCTTTTTCTTTTCTTTTTTGCAAAAACACTTTTTTTGTTCTTCAGAAAACTTGAAAAAAGTTGAGTGTTTTTTTTTTTATGATTTTATTTCGCCATCTGATTGTAATTGGATTAGAACTTGGGTCTGTATTTCAAAAAAAAATCAACAGTTCACGGGTGTACCAACTGAGCTAGGCCTGTTGGTACTGCAATGATCTCACATGCAGATGCAGTTGTCATCAAACAAACTGAGTAGAGGATGTGCAACCGTTTTCCAAACATGCATGCGTAGCGAGTACCAAGAGAACAACCAACTTGTGTTATTTCAAAAATTTACATAGCTGAAAAGTCTGGCCACTCCTCCTTCGGCCCAGCAACGTCCATCAGTAAACAGCTTCAGATACGTGTCTTGTTAGTCTCTCTCTCTCTCTCTCTCTCTCTCTCTCTCTCTCTCTCTCTCTCTCTCT